TATGAAAAATGAGATCTTTCTGGAGAGCAGGTAACTAAATATCAGAGGAACATGTTATCATCATGGAGAAAACGTGAGCGTTAAGTGAAAGCAGAGGGAGCAGGTCACTCTGTGACCCTGCAGGCACGCTGAACAGCCCCACTCCATTTCAGAGCCCCTCACTGACTGCTGCGGGAGGTGCCTGAAATGGGGCGGGGAGGGAGGCCTGACAGCAGCATTGTTTTCCGTCTCCATTTGTCACAGGGAGCCCAGATGGGACCTCAGCTCAGAAAAATAAGAATTTCCTCTTAGAGTTTTTTTTCTCCTTCCTCTGGAGTCAATAGTCCGAATGTTTGGTGTTTTGCTAAGTCAGTGCAGGCACCGCACCTTAGTATCCATGCTGATTCATTCAGTTAGAGCTAAAAGTGCCTCAGATGCCATAGTTTGTAGGTTTAAAATGCTGCGTTTGGTCCTAGGCCTGTAACAACTAGATTTCTTTGCACCTACGTGTTTGTCAGGTTTATGTTTTATTTGGATTTATGCTTTTCATTTGTTGATAACATCTATGTCTTCGTTTTGAAAGTTTATTTTAGTCGCTTATTTGTTAGTTTTTTGCTCTTTTTTCTCTTCTTTTTTTTTTTCTTTTTTTTTTTCTTCTTTTCCTGCTCCTGCTTTATATCAAATCTGCCTGGAGTTTAAAGAAAGACTCTTCTAAAACCTACTTTTGTATCTTGAAATAAAAATTATGTGTTAAACTATTCTATTTATTAGTAGCCATCTGAGGGATTGAGGTAGCACAGTAACAACATATACAGTACCTGCCTGCAGCTTTCGAGACTTCACTAGCAGCTTTGCCAAAATTTCAAGGATTTCACTCTTCTTACAGTCTCATTTTTTCCATACCCTCAGTGCAGAGCAGCCAGATGCCAGCTCTCGCCAGATGTGGGACGATGGATGGCCCAGTGGCAGAGGTCGGCGTTTGTCTGTGCAGCTGTCCCTGCCCGGCGGTGCCTGCAGCTCCGTGAGACACCAGATGGCTCTGGGTAGGTGCTCCACACAGTGCTGGGCACAGCCATTCCCAGCAAGATAGCAGCCACGGAGGTGGGATCTAAATCCCAGCCTTTGAAGTCAGTGCGAGTGAATGCGAGCGGATTTGAGGCAGAGTGTAATCAGTATTGCTGCAAGGGGACAGCAGCAGCAAAGTGCAGTTCCCATATAACATCTAAATACTCAAATCATTAAGCTTTCATGTGACCTGTGTATCTTGGGTCGCATTCATAGGGAGACTACAAAGCCCACAGGCTCCATTATGTATTTCAGGACACAGCTAATCAGTCTCGCCTAATAAAGCTACAAGAAAATGCGTGCTCTAAGATGACACTGCCGCAGACACACTGCATGTAAAAGCACACTGCAAAGCACTGAGCGTGGTGCTTCACAGCTTCACACTGGGATGACTGGAGAGGATCTGATAGCAGAGCCATAAAATCATTAGTGCAAAGGGGAAGGTGAATGGGGAACAATTGGTCACTGTCTTCTCCATGCAAGAGCTGGGAGTTATCAAAGGAAATCAGCAGGACTCAAATCCGTGATAAACAAAAGGGAAAATGTTCTCATCCGGTAGGAGGTGATTCATAGAACTGCTTGCTGCAGGACAGGAGGGGACCAGAGCTTTGTGTCCATTCAGAAATGGATAGGTGCATGGAATTAAATCCACCAGGGGTGACAGAACACAGACCTGAAATTCCTTTGGACTAGTGTTCTTCTTCAAGTTATTTATCAGGCTCATGAGCATGGCAAGTACTTGGTCTGGGCCACTGCAGCCCTCTTCATATCCTTACCTCCAGCATTGTACAGCCACAGAAATATGGAAGAAAGAAAATACATTTCTAAGAGTGTCTGATTGCTGAGCCAGATTCATTTAGTGTAAGGAAAATATCATTAAGGCCCAATAGATGGCTTATTGCAAAAACTCTCTAGAGATGTGGGGATTTTCAGGCTTGCTTTTCAGCTTTGTCCCCCTCGCAGCAGAGAAGCAGACCCTTACGGAACAAGCATCAGTTTATGAACAATGGATTTGCTTTACTTCATTGTGTGTTGTACCAGCATGGAGGTAACCCACTGGCCATTAAAAGCTTCACGTTGCAAACCGGCAGTTACCGCCTGTGGGCAGTGGGTTGCAGTCCTGGGCCCCACTCTTGGATTCCTTTATTTCCCAGGGTGAGGCTCTACGGCTCAGCAGCAATGTGCCATAATCTCATGCTTGCTGCATGGCAGTTTCCAAGGAAACTCGCCGGCTGCACATGCTGGAAGTGATCCTGAGGGGATGTCAGCAGCGAATGCCTTGATGGAGGCTGTGCTTGGGTGGAAGCTGACCCACAGCAGAGGTTTGGTTTCCTTTCCCAGTCTAGGAACTGAATGCATATTAAGAATTTAAGACAAAACATGCACCTTGTTTTCTAGGCAGAGGCAGAAAGTGCTTTTTTGTCCAAGCCATGTTCCATCTATTTCTTTGCCTTAATATTTATGACATGTGCAAGCTTAATGTCTGACATTCTTCTGTGAAAATTATTTAAAATTGTAATAACCATGTAGTGCAAAAAAAAAAAAAAAAAAGAAAAGAAAAAAAAGAAAAAAGGCTACAAAAACTCTTGCAAATATATAAGCTGAATAAACCCTCTAGTTTGAAATGCAACACTGAGAAATACAGTGGGCTGCAGCAAAACCAGAGAGCAGATCACATGTGTATACCAGTTTCCAAATACTGGAGGGATGTTTAAAAGGAGCCAGTGTATCAAGTGAAAGACTTTTATTTGCCTTCAAGAACCGAATCTCTGATTGTAAAACATCAGACTTAAAATCCAACCATTTTTTCCCACCATGTAGCTGAGGACACTGAGTAGAAAAGCGTGGTGATGGAGAGGAACAGGAGGGAGAAGGTCACAGCCTGCATTTTCCCATCCTAGAACATGAAAGTAACAAAAGCAAATAACTCCAGCCATCTCCCTGCTCTGTGTCAAAATGCACAGAGAAGAAAATAAAGGCTGAAGGAATAGAAAGCCACTAGATGTTACCCGTTATGTTAAACTGTTTTAGATTTGATAGGAAATCAGTGCCATATTATCACACAAAATATACAGTAGAGGAAACACAGAATCACTTTGCTAAATTTACTGAAATGTATTTGTTTCATAACAAAAATATGTATAAGGAGGAATGCGTATCCAATCTGGAGGAATGTCAGTATTTAACACTCTTTTCATCTTTTTGAAGATACTCCCCTTCTGGGGCCTGGCCAAGAGGGAGAGATTTTGACAGACTGACTTCCAGCAAGTTACTTGGTGCCTGAATCCAGCTTTGACCACGTGTCTTTTTCTTCTGAGTATTAGCTAGGTTACAGCAAATATTAAATTATTATTTGTGTATAGTTTTAAATGAAAGTGATGAAATATGGTACAACGTGATCCCAACCCCTGGAAAAAAAAAAAAAAAAAAAAAAAGAAAAACATCATTCAGTTTCTTCTCCCCTACAACACCATGAGATGTCAAACACAAACCCACAAGCAAGATCCTGTTCTAGAATTCTGGCTCCTTCCATGAAGTTGACACATGTGCTGCCCACTCCCTTTGGAGCAGGAGGATGGAGCAGGCTCTGGTTATGGGGGCAGCTCTGCGAATGCAGAGCTCTCCAGGTTAAGGTTACTCTTTGCTCAGGGGCCTGGATTTCTGTCTTATAACTCTGCTAAAGGACGTAAATTGAAAACAAATTCCTCTCTTTGGAGCTGCCTAAGATTTCAGTCTCTGATGTTGATTGGCACCGATAACAGCTTATCTCTCTATTTTTTCCTCTATCTAATGAAAGCATCATCAATTATCTGCTTAACTATCTGCTATCAGATTCTACCTATGGGTATTGTAATAATTTCAGAAACATCAAACACTTGGATCTCTGACTCGAGCAAGTTCCCTTAGCACATGTGAGCTGAAAACCATGGGAGCCGGTAGGTGCTGTGGTGTGCTGTTGCTGTATGATAGTACAGATGGAGACAGTGGGAAAATCTGTGGCCATCACAGCCACTGAATGAGACAGAAACACTCATCCTCCAACTTAAAAAAAAAAAAAAAAAAAAAAAAAAAAGACGAGTAACAACCAGGAAAGATCAGGCATAACCTAGTAAGCAGGTGGAAGAAATAGGACACAAATGGAGCTGGATGTACTGTGGGTAACAATGTTTGAAGGAGATCTGCTTTGTGGTCTCATGGCTAGCAGTGGTGAGGTGAAGAAAGACATACTGATTGTAGTGGCTTGAAGTGGACTGAGAGTGAGAAGGAATGCAGTTCTGAGCTGGGTTTGCTGAGTGCCTTCCACACAATGTCTGCGTCTTTTTTAGAGAGACAGGCAAGAAAATGCCTGCTTTCCTTATTGTTCAAAACAATCACTATGGAAAAGTGTCCTAGATGAAGCAAACACCACAGAGAAGCATTTCCCTTTCAAACACTCCATGGCACATTACTTTCACATTCTCCACTCTCAGATTTGGATAGAAGCAGTCCCGCTCTGGGCGGTCAAGTGAAGCAGCCTGTCCCTGCTGTCAGACTGCTTAACTCTACTTTGTAAATTAAAAAAAAAAAAAAAAAAAAAAAAAAAAAAAGGAGGGAAATAGAAGCCTGTGGTTCACTCTTGACAAATGGATATTCCTCTTTTTGGTGTATAGCCGTCCAGATGAAGGCTGCTTGCTGAAATTCTAATCAGTAAGTAATTGGGCTTTGCTCGAAGGTGTGCAGCTACATCTGCCCAGTGGCTGCATCTGTACAGAGTGTTTAATCCCATAACACATACTGATCAATGCGCATTTTCACTCAGCCCTTTCAGAAATGCTTTCTATTTCCAGGACAGAGGCTGCCGGGCTGCTTTCAGCCACTGTTCCTCCTTTCTGCGTCGCCAGACTGCTCTGCTGCTGCTGCTGGCTTGGGCGCTTTTCCCAGCGTTTGTGACGTGTCAAAGAGCAAGAAAAGGAAAAGGACTGCTGGGGACCGGGCGCTCCCCTGTCTGTCCCGAACAGCTGTCGGCATCGCGCCCCCCGAAGCCGCCAGGTGCCGGGAGCTGCCGGAGAGAGACCGCCGCGATGCTCCGGGGCCGGGCGCCACCTACCGCCGCCCGAGCCGCGCTCCTCTCCTGTAAGCCCACACGAGCGAGAGCTACTGGGAAAAGGGTGGGTTTCTCGCCTTCCCCCCCCCCGCCTCCCCCGCCTCCCTTCCCTCCGCAAGCATTTTTCTTTATTATTATTATTATTTTTCCCTACTGTTATAAGCTCTTCCCGAAACCACCCAAGGATATTCTTGGTCCTGGGCGGGGAAGATGAAACCCCATGCCTGCAACACCTCCTTTGTGCAGCTGCAAGCTGCCTGAAATCCACAGCTCGGGGCCTTCCTAAACGGGACACTGAGGAAACCAATCTGCATGAACTAAAGGTGTAAATCTGAAGTGTTAAAGCTCACCTTTAGTTTAGGCATAAAGACAATTAATCATGAATAAGGACATCCTCAGAGGAGCTTAATGAGGTTTTGCTAATCCACTTAAAGAAGTGAATCTTCCTTGAGTTTTCCCTGTAGATCGACATCCCCACCACCATTTTTTTTTTTCCTGTCAATTCACCATTCCTCTGCTTGCCTGCATAAACTTTATAAAGCTTAATATGCTATGTAACGGCCGTCTATGCACCACTCAGCTGCACTCAGGTACACTAGAGCTCAGTTAGAACATTGCTGACATTTTTCTGAGAGCCTGGAAACTTCAAAGCCATCTCTGTGCTTGGACACCTTTAAAAGGGTTTGTTAAAGAAACCTATATAGTTAATTTACATTTTTATTTTGTGAATTGCTGGCTCCTTCTGTACCTCCGACAGTGCTGATAGCAGTACTGCATCCCACAGCAGTGCCATGTGCCATAGCGTGGCTCTGGTCTTTAGCATGGCACAGCAGTGTGCCCCATGGCAGAGTCATACCCATCCAAACCCTACATCCATCCAACCTTATCTTCATCCAACTCAACCCTATATCCAACCCAGCCCTACGTTCTTCCCAACCCTACATCCAACCCAACCCTTCATCATCCAACCCTACATCTGACCATGTGATACTGAGTTTGAGGTTGGTTCAGGTGGAATTGTTTGGGTTTGGGGTCAAGTGAGTTGCAAATTTGGTGTTTTACTGGAGTTAGCCAAGCAGTAATGTGATTAAATGCTAAATCTAGGCTATACAGGGAGATGTTGAGAGAGCTGAGGTTGTTCATCCTGGAGAAGAAAAGGCTCAGAGGTGTCATCAGTACATATAAATATCGGATGCAAGAAACAAAAAAGGCAGAGCTGGACTCTTCTCAGAGTTGTCCAGTGACAGGACAAGCAGTGGACAAAAACTGAAATACAGGGAATTCTTGCTTGGTTTGCTTTGCTTTGCTTTGTGGTTTTATTTTTATTTGTTTTACTTTGAGGATGGTCAAATAATGGAGGAGATTGCCCAGAGCATCTTCATTGTTGGAGATACTCAAAATGCATCTTGGGCACGGTCTGCTATGTTTGACTCTCCCTGCACAGGGACCTGGCAGTCTCCAGGGGTCCCTCCCAACTTCAATGGTCCCATGATTCTGTGATACTCAGCATTTTTCATATCCCGAAGTAAATTACCACCATGAATAAACAAGAAAGGGAGAAATAAAGCAGCTGCTTTGAGTGCAACACTGCATGAGTGCAATCAATATTCATCAAACAGAAAAAGCAAAAAATCAATAAGGTAAAAATTAAAGAGTAAAAGGAAAAGAAATCTTCTCTTTCAATAAACAGGCACAAGTGATCTCCACTGCTGCAGACCATGGGGTCTTTCTCATTCTGAGCGTGCTTTCAACTAGAGAATCCACATGCACGGGGGACAGAGTTAAGGCTGCAGGGACAATCATTTCAGAGTAGGTAGATAAGCTGCTTTGAAAATCTGACATTATTTCCATTTAGTGATCTTGCCTTAACGCTTCTAATATATATCTAACAATTATATGCATTTATAGATATATCTCTATATATAGATATATAAACATACACATTCTCTCCTGGGATGTGTAAATATGTCCTCAGGGCTGAACAATGGTTATTAATATTTCCATTGCTCTCTCTGGGAGAAGAGACATCTAGAAAATCAGCAGGAAATAGCTCAGAAAGATATTTTAGTATTAGCATGTGGATTCTAGTGGCTCTTTTTCTATGTTTATTAATACAAATAATGCTGGTGGTGTTCTGGACTAGTCTTACTTGTGTGAAGTAAATTCCAATTTCCCTTATGTTTGTAAGGAAGCTGTATGCAGAGAAGTTTCAAACAGAGGAGGAGCATAGTGTGGAGCTTCCCTGTCCATGGCTTTGGTGACCATCCCACATCTTTTAAAATCATAATGGCATGGTATATTTCTTTAAATTTTGGTCAGTGTGACTGTACAGTTTACAACATCCTCCAGTTGAACAGCAGGGGAGGAAGAGAACAGAGTATGATGTGAGTGGACCTGGTCATGTCCAGGTTCAGGGCTATAGCTATCAAAGACAGGAGAACCAAAACCAGAGCAGCCACCCTCTGTCATCATGAGCAATCCTTGCCTCCATGCCCTTGCCTTCTCAGTTTCATCCCAAAGTCTACCCAACCCATGTCTCCGAATGAGGAGCAAACATCCTGCCCCTCCAATCCCAGCATGACATGGCTCACCACTGGAGTTCTGCCCACTGTGACATGGCCACTCTGTTGCTAGGACTGATTCTGAGGTCTCAGAGAGGGACCAGCTCCCAGGTAGATTGCAGAGCTGCCTTTGCCTGTGACCATGGGAGCTTCCATCTCAATGGAGTGAGAATGAAATGGGGTACAGACTGGTGCTATCTTATCTGAAAAATCTGTGTCTTTCCCCAAAATGAGTGGAGAATTTTACCAGAATTTTTTCTTGTGCTATACACTCTTGTCAGAAGATAGAACCAAATCCATAACTTAGCTTCCTTCTGTTTGGACTACTTCCACAGACTACTTCTTCCCTTTTACATGACTGGACAAGAGGCTGTGGGCACAAACTGAAACACAGGAGGATTACTGTGAGCACCAGAAGCGCTTCTGTGCTGTGTGGGTGATGGAGCTGTGGCACAGTTTGCCCAGAGTCTGTGGGGTCTCCTCCTTGGACACCTCCCAAAGTCACCTGGTGGTGCCGTCCACCCTGACCTGGGTATCCCTGCTTGAGTAGAGGCTGAACCTGATGGAACCAGAGGTCTCTGTCCACCTCAGACAATGCTGTTGTCCTGTGATTCTGTGATATATAAAAAAATATATATATATACGTATACATACACACACACATATATATATATATATATATGTATAGATGACATCAAACTGTGAGGAAGTGTTGATCTACCTGGGGGTAGGAAGGCCATTCAGAGGGATCTGAACAGTCTGAATCACTGGGTTGAGGCCAAAGGTATGCTGTTCAACAAGATGAAGGTCCTTGGCCACAGCAACCACAAGCAATGCTACAGGCTTAGTGCAAAATGATTGGAAAACTGCATGAAAGAAATGGATGTGTTCAACACTTGGCTAAACATGAGCCAGTGACGTGCCCAGGCGGCCAAGATGGTCAATGGCATCCTGGCTTGTATCGGAGATAGTGTCCCCAGCAGGAGCAGGGAGGTGATCATCCTTCTGTCCTCAACTCTGGTGAGGCTGCACCTCAAGTACTATGTTTTGGGCCCCTCCACTACAAAAAAAGACATTGAGGATCTAGAGGGTGTCTAGAGAAGCTGTGAAGGATCTGGAGCACAAGTCTTATGGAGTGAGGCTGAGAGAGCTGGGGTTGTTCAGTCTGGAAAAGGATCAGGGGAGACCTTATCTTTGCCTGAAAGGAGGTTGTAGTGAGGTGGAGGTCAGCCTCTTCCTCCACATAACTAGTAATAGGGCTAGAGGGAGTGGACTCAAATTACACCAAGGGAGTTTCACATTGGATATTAGGAAAAATTTCTTCTCCAAAAGGATGGCCATGTGCTGGAGGTGGTTGAGTCACCATCCCTGGAGGTGTTCAAGAAACATAGAGATGTTGTACTGAGGGACGTGGTTTAGTGGGGAAATACTGAAGATAGGTAGACAGTTGGACTTGGATCTTGAAGTTCTTTTCCAACCTTAGTGATTCTAAGGTTCTGTGGTTCTATGACTCTATGTACATCATAGGTTAAAGCAACGAGAAACTTTCCTTTATGTGTCTCCATATAATTTCCTCAAACTTTAACTGCTTGTATTAAAAAAAAAAATCATTCTTTGTCTTAAGATGGAAAATATTTTTTAAAGCATTTTAATTATTTGTGAAATGACTATTACACAAACATTAGAGTGCAGAGACCTTTTATGAGAGAATAATAGTGGAGAAAAATGTGTTAAAAGTTTTAGCAGTCTTTTTCACCTTCATCAACCTCCAAGCCACGTTTGCTTACCAGGTTCTTGCAGTCCTGTTAGCACAGCTTGTGGAAGATAGGTAGTGGTTGGTGGAAGGGAGATAGTATGTGGTGGAGAGGCTTGGTTCTCTAAATAGAAGCAGATCAGGCACCCCAGCGTGTTGGAGCTGGAGACAGCGTGTGGTGAGAGTGGCTGGAGCATGGTTTTGGGCACACCAGGTTTTTTGTTTGTTTGTTTGTTTTTTACTTTCCTTAGCCACTCAGTGTTCCTGCGTCTGAATAAGACTTTCCCTGAAGCAGGATGAACAGTTCTCTCTGGCACATGACAAATGCCACAAGGATAGGAATGCACTCCAGGATACCTTCTTGGCCACGTGTATATACTGCTGGCTCATGGCTGACCTGTTATCCACCATAAGTCCTTCTCCTCAGGTGTCCTTTTCAGCCAGTCAGCTGATGCATGTGGTTATTCTTCCCCAAGTGCAGGACCCTACACTTGCCATTACTGAATTCCAAGCAGTTCCTTTATGCCCATCTCTACAGCCTGTTGAAATCCTTCTGAATGGTGGCACTGCACTCTGTGATATCAGTCACTCCTCTCCGTTTTGTATCATCAGCAAACTTGCTGAGGAGGTGCTCTGTCTCTTCATCCAAGTCACTGATAAATAAGTTAAACCATATTGGACCCAGTATGGACCCATGGGGACACCACTAGCTGCAGGACTGCAAACAGACTCTGTGCCACCAGTCGTAACTCTCTGAGCTCTACCAGTCAGCCAGTTCTCTGTCTAGCTCACCATCCACTCATGCAGCCCGCACTTCCTCAGCTCATGAGTGTATCATGGGAGGACAGCATCAAAAGGCTACATGGTTATCAGAGCCCGGAAGTCAAATGGGACTGATTTTTTTTTTTTTGCAAGCCACATTATTATTTTATGTGCCAGTGTTTACTGAGAAGGAATGCCTTACACACCCTCACACATCAGGACATCTAGCTCCAGGTGAACATACAGTCATCTCTATCACTCTGTGTATTGACTTTACTGCTGTGCTATCTAGGAAAGACGGCTTTGCCTTCTTGAATTACCTAAAATCTCAAATGATGATGAATTTAACGCTCTGAGATTCTTACTAAGAGTTTGTTGGTCTAGAATGTCTTTTTCCATGTAATTGATATTTTGTTCCATCAAGTATTGATGATTTTGATTTCGTTACTGATGCAATTGCATTGCAATTATGAGAGTGAAATATCTGGTGGTATCTTCAATACTGCATGTGTAATGAGAGCTCTGGTATCTGCTAGTACACATTACTGATATTAAAGAAAGTTCCTTTGGTGTATCTAAGCTGATACATAAGGCAAGGCCAGAGACCACTGTCTGTCTCAAAGACCAATTGAAATATACTGACTGCATTCACACTGCATAATCCTAGGGCCTCAAGTGCCATTAAAGCTTTTGTTCTTTTTCTTTTTCCTTATTTAATACCGTTAACGTATTTCTTTTTTTTTTTTTCTTTTTTCTTTTTTTTTTTCTTTCTTTTTTGCTTGTAAGGTCTGAGATAATGTGAGGACTGTTATCTATTAAAGTGATACTTTAATAACATGGATCCATGGGCATGTGCTGCATAAGTGGCTTGTGTCACAAGGAGTGTTTGAGGGTGGCTCCTGCAAAGTTAAGAGTGTGTAGGGTGGGGGACACTCAAACCACTGCATTCTTCTCTTTTTTTGGGGGGGGGAATAGTCCTGGCGCATGTTATCCTGTGAACTGTGCCCAGGCATTGTTTTGGAGAGCTCTAACTGGGACCAGCAACATCGCTTCCAGGGAGAATATGCTTACAATTATGCATTACTGAAGACAGTGGTTCCGTCCACTGCTCAAATTCACAGCCTGGCACTGCTTTATTTTACAGCATAGGTATAAATTGTGTTTAAATTAACTAGGTGAAGGCCTACATTATTTTTGTCTTTCAGAAATGTTATGGTATAAAGACTTTGTTTCTTGCCAACTCTTCCCAGTCCCTCTGCAGGCTGTACAGGAAGGTCTCTATTTTGTGCATGGTTTTCTGCAATTCAGCATTGCCACTTCAGCTGAAACCAGTAGTGTGCTTGCCTTGTGCTGATGGCTATTATTATGTTGGTCTTTTTTTCTTGAAAAATTCAACTATCTTTGCTGTTTGGAGGCATTTCTCCAGATACGCTTCCTTCAAGGATGCCTCCTGCAAGCTATACTCTTTTGTCCCACTGACAATCCTAAATTCAGTTATGGAATCTTTAATATCCATTAGGTTACATATATTATTTTCAGTTCTGAATATGTATTTATTCTTTACTCTGGATTTCAAATTTCTGGAAAAAAATGAACAAAGACAACAAAGTAAAGCAAAAAATCGTCCCAGTACTTCTCTATTCTTTTCTAGATGCAATATTATCTTTTGTAATACAGAAAACTAGACTCAAATCTAAGCATGTCTCTTTTAATGTAAGCAAGGGTCTTCATAAGACAGCTACGGTAGAAAGGTATTAGATTTACTATAACCAACAAACACAATTTCCATTTCCTAATCCTAATGATGAGATTCAAGCATTAAAAGATATTTTGCAGGCAATGCAGACTTTGTAATAATTCTGTTACCATAATAATGCCATAATGTCTTAGCTATCTACTGATATAAGATCAATGCAGATTTTAGTAAGTAGTTTGACGCATTTGTTCACAAAGACATACCGATCTATGTAATTAAGTAAAGTATTGGAAGTACTTCTGGTTTTAAGACATTTTTAGAAAAAGGAAGATTATGGAAAATATTTATGACATTTATATCAGAGAAGGTGAAGAACAGAATATATTGTTTATGTGATCTCTTTTGCAAAACAGTAGTAGAACATGCATTCAAGATTTGGTTGATAGCACTGAATTTATCCTGTTCTGCATTTATATATCAATTACATCAATGATTGTTATTTATCCTGTATTTTTCAAGGAAAGCCTACTGTTACTTCAGCAAGAAGGGAAAAATTGTAGACATTTTCTTAGGTAGTAAGAATCAGACCAAGAGGTCAGATGGTGTAAATAACACTGTAATCTGAGGCAGCAAGGTGATTCAGTAAATATTTCTATAGTCTCATTCTGGAGTTATCATAAACCGTGCTTGGCTATTCCCTGCTTCAAGCATTACAGCAAGATTATTCTCATCTCTCTTGTTTTGCTACAGGTAGAACAGTTAAAAAATTACCTCAATTTCTCTACTTTCCCATGGCTATTAGATGTTCTTCTCTTCTCACAGTCTGAGTTACCATTTTGTTTTTGACTTAAAACTGAAGTTTTTTTGCACTTCCTATTTGCCTTCTTTGCACACAGCCCTGGCAAAGCTCTAAGGATAATTTTTGACCATGACAACCAAAATCCTACTTTTTACTGCAGTAAAGCCTGAGATTATCTTAGGAACTCGTGCCTCCAGGGATTTAGTCTTTACGACTAAGCACTGATTATGACTAGAACTTGAGATAAAAACAATCCTGCTGATTTGGAACCAACTCCACCCTTCTAGAGCTACAGAAATAAGCTCAGAGAGGTGAACATTAGTTAGGAGGAATTATTACAGATTTGCATAGAATTATTTAGTATATCTTTTGAAATGTCTTCATCTTCACTAATGAAATAGTAATTATTTTGGAAAATTTCACATAGACATCCCATTTTGTCTCTTCACGTTTCAACAGCTTGCTTCAAGCCTGTCCTCATGTACCAGGCTCTGTTTCAGCAACTTCCAGTATACTGCCCACTGGAGAAACTGAGCCTGAGAAACAGCCAAATGTACATCTTCTGATGTCATGTGTCAGTGG